TTTATAAGCTTTAAAGATGAGCAAGAAAGGTCCCCAGTTTCATTTTAATCCGATTTCATTATGATCTGCCACATTTAATATTTATAAAATGTGCTATAATTTTTTAATTACTATCTATATAAAATTTTGTTAGGAACTTATATCGTGTAACCTAAAAATCTACGAACATTTAGTGGGTTGAGTTGGTTAGCCCTAATCTTCAACCCATTCCTTTAAATTAAGTTTACTCCATCATTTACTCTGGATTGTTTTATAACTCTGGGTTAACCATATTTTTAAACTAACTCCAACTTGTGTTGGGTTTTAATCCGAGAGCAGGCTGTTCCATATTTGATTTATTGATTGAGGCGCAACCTATATCTAACTGAGTATAGTACATATAGTATCTATAATACTTATGCACACGGGTATAATCACCGCCTAGCTCTTAAAATTGATAAGGTACTCGTGTCCGGTATATAACAACATGAAATAATCTATTTAAATTTTTTAATTAGATATTTTGAATCGCCGCCGGGCCTTCAATTTCTACATTGTTTAAAGAATTCTGTAAAAGGTGGTTGTAGCATATTTGCAGACTCCTTTACAGCTGTACAAAGGTTCAAATCTGCGTATCCAGCTGATTTCTTGCTTCTAACTCAAACTCCATTAACATTTCACTATATAAATGATGGTCATCACATGCACTATAAACGTCCCATAATAGCTATGGATCAATTCAATGAAGAATTTTGTGTAAATTATGCACCACCATTCCAGGGACCTATCGAATCACTCTTACCTGAACATCCATTGTTTTATAACGAAGAAAATGATATTAAAATCTTTCAATTTTATCAAGCATATAAAAGATTTTGTTCGTTTATCGAAGATGACGATTTAAAATTTAAATTAACACTAGAACCAGGCGAGTTAGTGATATTTGTAAATAGAAGAGTATTACATGGAAGAACTTCATTTGATCAACAAAGTGGTGAACGACATTTGAAAGGAGCATATTTAGACTTTTGTGATTTTAAAGATAAATTTAGAGTTTTAAAAGCAAAACAAAAGAAACAACAAGAGAGATGAAAATAAAACAGCGGCATTTTATAGGTTGGAATCTTAATTATTCTTAAAATTTTGAAACAGTCTTTAAAATTTTAGGGTTTTAATATCGTGAATCTAAATTCAAATTTATTAAAATTCTACTTGTTACTGTACTATTTTAACTTTTTTTTAAGGCATATGAATTTCTAAAATTATACCGCAGAAAAATAGAAAAAATAAATTTTAACGCAGTAAATTTCTTTTTGTTTTTATTTACTTTGATCTTACCTACAATCAATTACGAACTAAAATGTGCCAATTTTTTGGGATTCTTTTCTCGAAAGCAAATAATAACAATTTCCCGATTTTGATTATTAATGGCGACATAACGATATATGCAAATAGTTTGTAATTGAATATTAATGGTTGAGTTGTAATTGTTAATGATAGTAAAATGAACATTTTATGGGTTTAGTACTAATAATGCTAAAATTTCTTTGCAATGATTTATAATTCCAACTCTCCTTTATTGAAATTTCACAAAGCTATAATATTGTAACTTCGTAACTTCTGCATCTCGCACCAATGAATCTTTCAATATCTTCTACGTTAACAAATTTATCCGCTGATTTCCATTTTGATTGAATGATGTTATTCGATGTGTTAAATTTCCGTGAAGGTTCACATTCTCTTGATCCAATTTCCATCAACGTAAAATTGAGTTTATTAGAATAGCTCAAGACCTTGTTCTTCTCGATATGAACATAAAGCATATGGGCTGCCGTCAATAGAAATCAAGCAAATCTACATTTTTAAAAAAATCAATGCCTTAACTTTCATAGCTCACA